CTCTCTCCCCCTCCTCCCCCCCTCTCTCTTACTCCCTCTCTCCCTCCCACCTCCTCCCTTCCTTCCCTCCTTCCCTCCCTCCCTCTTCCTTTCCCCTCTCTCCCCCCTCCTCCCCCCTCTCTCTTACTCTTTCTCTCCCTCCTACCTCATCTCTCTCCCTCTCTCCTCCCTCCTCCCTCCCTCCCTCTCTCTCACTCCATCTCTTCCCCTCTCTTCTTCTTCTCTGTCTCTGTCTCTCTGTATCCCCCTCTCTCTGTTTCCCTCTCCTTTTCCACCACTCTCGGTATCCAAGAAAGTCAATGGTTGTGACTCCAAGAAAAGAAAATGCAGAAGAGAAAGAGGGAAGGAGAGAGCACGAAGAGGCCAGAATAGCAAATGCAGCTGCCAAGGCTTCAGATGTGACAGTGAATTTAGAAAAGCCATCGGCTTGCGTGCTGCCCCAACAAGTCCGGCATCTACACAATCTCTATCAACTGATGAAATACTCTCCTTTCCACCTTTTAATTATTCAGCAAACATATTGCTTATATTTAAAAAATATTATTTTATTATGTATAAGTACAGTTCATTTTTTCACTCTCAACATTTGTTTTACTTTACTGTACTTAGGAATTTTATTGCATTTTATGTTTTTGTGGCCAGCTCAGCCCACACTGGGGGCAGTGGTGGTGCAGCATGTGGTGCTGGGGATCAAACCATGGCGCCTGCACACTTGCCTAAGCTTGCCCTAAGCAGGTGCTTTAGACCACTGAGATATCTCTCCAGCCCTGTACGTAAGACTTTTATACCAGATCTACTGTAACACAGAAGAACTTACCCTGCTTGCTGGTTGGGTTGGAAATGTTTACCTGGGTTTGTCATTCAAAGTTGAGTCTTGGTCTCATTTCAGATGTGCTAAGATTACAACTTTTAGTCATGTTCCAACTGGGGTCCCCGTGACTAAGGGGAGGGAGCTCTGGAAAGGCTTTGCCAGGCACCCCTGGGTTCCCAGCTGTGCTCTGCAATGTGGGTGTCCTGGGGAGTCCAACCTGGAACAGAGATGCTGATCTTTCAGGGAGCTGAGAGGGACAGGCTTTGTTACAGTCTGTCACGGTCACACTGGAAACTTCTGAGCACATTTCTCAAGTGCGCGGTTTGTGGCTGGCCCTGTCAGTAACTAAGGATAAACTGACAGATGCTCACCCAGGCTGCAAGGAAATGGCTGCTTTACTATCTCAGTGTTGGGCCAGGGATCTAGCCCAGCGGCACAGCGCCTGCCTGGCAAGCACAGGCCCTGAGTTCAATTCCTAGTACCAAAAGAAGCAAACAATATGTCAGTATCTCAGTATGAGTTTGGATATGGCTTTCTGAGTGGGTATGTACACATGCAGGACAGCAGAACACTGGAAGTAAAGCCTGCCTTCTGTGAATTTACCTAAGTATATTTTACAGGGAAATAACACATGTCACTAGAGAAAACTAGTTGGATTGAAAGCTTTGTGGAAAGCTCTGTCTTATTTAATCTTTCTTTCTACATCTAAGCATACCTCAGAGCCTATTTAAGGTTTGTTGAATGAATCCATGAATATTTATGAGAGTCACCAGGTATCTTCTTAAGAGAGAATCTTCACCCTCAGGGTCCCTGAAGTTTCAGAGGA